TCATTGAATCGGCAAGCCCGCGACGGAAAGTTACATCACAGCACGTTGCCTCGGCACCCAAAACTCATCAAATGTTGGAAGCTAAGTTCGCGTTGGAGCCTGAGTAACCATTGGTGGGCTGGGAGTACACCAGGTGTTGTAGGCTTGGGCTAGGAACTGGCCAAGCGGTGGCGATACAGCGATTGGTGAATTCATCTGTGCGGATCTTTAAATATCACTGCCTCGTATGTGTGGAGATTCTCTAAACGTTCATACATGGAATTGGTCGACGCATCACCAAGCATAAGCCTCCCAAAACGGGGTTTTGAGACTTGGGAAGGACATTGTGGGTACATAAATGGCATTGTTATTATTATCATCGCAGAAAGTCACATCACGTTGCTCTGTTGTGTCCCGATGCTTCTATAGCCCTGCCAAGACTCCTCGGGCTGACGGAGTGAATCACTGGTCTGAATACGAAAAAAGAGATTTGCATGTATTTAGCACTCACATGCAACTTTCGCCCCGCACCCAAAAGTACTTCGACAAAATGCTGCAGAAGTAATAAGAATATCGGCAGAGGAATAATTGCTTTGGAGGGAGATGGGGGGGAGAGATGTGGGAGAGATGTTGGAGAGATGTGGGGGAGATGTGGGGGAGGTGTGGGGTAGACGTGGGGGAGACGTGGGGGAGATGTGGGGGAGATGTGGGGGAGACGTGGGGGAGATGTGGGGGAGATGTGGGGGAGACGTGGGGTAGACGTGGGGGAGACGTGGGGGAGATGTGGGGGAGATGTGGGGGAGACGTGGGGGAGATGTGGGGGAGATGTGGGGGAGATGTGGGGGAGGTGTGGGGTAGATGTGGGGGAGATGTGGGGGAGATGTGGGGGAGATGTGGGGGAGATGTGGGAGAGATGTGGGGGAGATGTGGGGGAGGTGTGGGGTAGATGTGGGGGAGACGTGGGGTAGATGTGGGGGAGATGTGGGGTAGACGTGGGGGAGATGTGGGGGAGATGTGGGGTAGACGTGGGGGAGGTGTGGGGTAGATGTGGGGGAGACGTGGGGTAGCTGTGGAAGAAAAACGCCCTGCTCAGAGGCTCAATCGCCGTCTCCCAAGCCACCAGCGGAACGCAGCGACGGGCTCGTGGGAAGAGCGCGGCACAGACAGCAAATCGAAGTGTCGGTCCGAGACCACGGAGCACCTCAGGCAACGCCGATCACTCTTTTATTTAGAGCGCCTTTAGGTGGTGTCCGTTTAATTGTCATTCCCCCGCACCTCCGATTGGCATGGTTGGCTATGTACGGTGCGAAAGAAGTTCAACATACATACATACACACTACAATACACTGCACACTACTTTATACTACACTATACACTACACTATTGTAGAGGTGTATTTGTGCATGGGCACGGATAGCTAACAAACACAAGGGGCGTGGTTAGAGCCGTACACAGAGGAGGTGCTCACACCGACGTCCGCACCTGCATCCCCCACGGGCCCCTCCCGGGGGCCGAGTACTATAAAAGGTGGTGAGCCGGAGGGCTCGAGGTCGAGTATTAGCTTAAACCAGCGAAGAGTGAAGACCAGCTAGAATAGGCCCCGGAACTCCCCTGGCTCGCTGTCCTTGTCAGGGCCGACCAGGGCAAGCCGGTGGCGTGGCCTCGAGAGCCCAGACTGACGTTCTTGTAAGAGCCGGTCTGGAGACTCAGGGTGCCGGGATCCCAGCTTGACCAGGGCTGGGATAGGTAGCCTCCCCTAGCTCCGTAGTGGAGGACTTGGGCGCAGGTTAGCGGGGTTAGATGTTGTGTCTCCCTGTAGCCGAGTGAAGGGGACGATACCCTCTTAAGTACTGTGTGTACCCGTTACTGTGCACAAGTTGGTGTTAATAAATAAGTGTGCCTCAGACCCCGTCGTCAAAGCCTCCTGAATACTTACTACACTATTATACACTACACACTACACTACTGTATACTACACTATACGCTACACTATTATACACTACAATACTATACACTACACAACTACACTATACACTACAATATATTACAATACTATACACTACACTACCATACACTACACTATACACTACAATACTATACACTACACTACCATACAATACACTACACACACTACACTATACACTGCAATACTATACACTACACTACCATACACTACACTACACACACTACACTATACACTACAATATATTACAATACGACTATATACTACACTACACACACTACACTACGATATCTTGCAATACTATACACTTCACTACGATACACAACACTACCATACTAAATTGGAAACTCATTCCCTTAGAGCTGCTTTTTGTGTTTAGTTTGTTGTCCTTCCCCCGCACCTCCGACGAGCACGGTCGGCTACGTACGGTGCCAAAGAAGTTCAACGTGCACACAAAGCAATACACGCGCGTGCACATGCGCCACCAATCCCACAACCTTCCGCAGATCCCACAAAAGGGCAGTCGCGCAGTTACGATGGGCTACACGTGGGTGGAGTGGGCCGGGTAGCCGAGAGCCTGGGTTCGAATCCTGCCCGTGGCTAAACCGCGTACTCAAGCGCAGTGAGTTGGTGGTCTCAGCCCAGCGACGAATGACCGCATTTTTTTAATATCAAAAACATTACATTTACACCTCAGTTTGATTAATTCTAGCTCTTTGTAAATGTCCGAACGATGGTCCACTTTGTTGAGCTATGTTTTGTGGGCAGGTCGCTTCTGAAAAACAAGTTCATACCTCGGTGGGCTTTGCCTGGCAGGATGAGGATGTTTTTTTGTTGCCTGTGTTTGGGTGATTTGTTTACCTTTCTTGTACTTTAGACTCCGATCGTGTTTTTGTGTTTGTTGTTGTGACGTTCTTACCCAGTTAAAATAGCTTTATAGCTCATCGAATTTCTCCATTATGAATAAAATATTCTCATTTTGAAAGTGTTAAAGATTATGATTTGTCTCTGAAGCAGAGCATTTGGGCAAGTTCTGCCCCCTTTTGTGCGCAACAGAGGTTGCCTGAAGAGATCTCGGAGGTAGCTCTGTGATATCCATTTCTGTGGGCCCGTTCTATGAACACCAAGGGTTGCAATGTTCAGTGCGAGGTCTGAATGTATTATTATGAATATTATTTAAGACCGAAACAGGAGGAGGAGGATTTCTCCACAACTCTGTCTGTCGCCTGATGATACTAGTTGTTGTAATTATCGGCACTCGAATTGTAAATGTTGTGGTGGGTTTACTCTCCAACACACAACCGCTGTAGTGCTGAACTAATAACGAATTGATACGTTTTGTTTACGAGACAAACCCTACTAATTGGCTGTGTCGGGTGGTGGCGGGTTTAACGGCACATTTATATTTCCGCCATCTAACCCAAACAAACCACTGTTATGGATGAATGGATTATGTTTCTCATGACCCGACGCCGATAGCACAATCAGGATAACAGGATAAGCGTGGGGGTGGGGGAGAGGCAATGAATGTAAAGTATAAAAAAATAACAACATCCAAGCACTAGCCAGGAAACGGGCTCAGCAAGTCGAGCAGTGACGGGACAAAAAAAGGGACCCACGGCGCTCACGGTGATTCCCACGGCGCACGTGGACCGCGTCTTTTAGGAGCCATAGGACAACCCCAGCGCTAGCAGATTGGGAGAGGGCCTCAGCACCACCGGCGTACACCCTTAAAAAGCTGCATGGAAAACCCCAAAGGGCGATCACGTAATTAATTCTGCTCTCAGCGTGGCATGACCCCAGCGTGGCATGACCCCAGCGTGGCATGACCCCAGCAAGTCCTGGGGAGGAATCTTAATCTCACTATGGCAGCTCAAGTCCAACTCAGGCCCTGGGAGTAATGCTACCAGAGTTTCTTTGTTTCCTCCGGTGTGGTGCAAGTCTCAGAATGGATGTCCCACAGCATTCGTGAATATCAGGACTGGGCTCATGGAAGTACGGGGAGCAGGCGCTGAAGTGAGCGTGCCACCTCGTGCCCTGCAGCCTGGCACCAGTCGGGGAGGGGTCTCGGCGCCAGGTCTCAAGTTTCCTGGCCTCATGCTCGATGGGCGAGATGTTAACTACCTCGCCTGGTATGCAGGAGATTGTGGGTTCGATCCCCACCCTGACGCCTGCTGTATATTTGGAGTTTGCGTGTCTCCCTCTCTCCCCGTGTGGATTTTTCTCCGGGTCCTCCGGTTTTTCCCTCCACATTTAGAATCAACATCACGCCTTTAGAGTATTTGGCCACATTCCCTTTCCACGTGAACGACCACTTTGCTGAGCTATCATTTGTTGCCAGGTGGCGTCTGAAAACGATCTATGCAGCTCAGAGGGCCTTACTTGGTAAAATAAAACATAGTTTAGTTTTACTACAAGGTCCCACCGTGTCCGTCCAGTGCTCGCCGAGCTGCATTGGCTTCCAGTTGCCAAACGAATACATTCTAAGGTGGCACTCATTACACACAGAGTGCTTTCCACAGATTAACCACGATATCTTGGCTGATCTCATCAAGGACCATAAACCATCATCATGCGAACTCCGGTCATGCTTGCAGAGGCAGCTTTTGGCCACTTTGTTGAGCTATCATTTGTGATAGCCAGGTCGCTTCTGACAAATATATATGTAGCTCAGCTTGGGGAGGGCTTCTTCCAGCAGTGGATAGACAATGGCTGATTCATTTAAAATATAGTTTAGTTGTAGATGATGCGAGGAAATAGGCGGAGCTACCTCAGAAGTAGGCGGGGCTAGCGGTGTAGTGGGTGTGGCCATGTACAAAGTGGGCGGCGCTCACGGAGGAATGGGCTGCCAGCCGCACGCGAGTCCTGGCTTTAGCCAGTCAAGACATTTGGAAGCCTTAGCCGCACACACTGAGTCCTTACCCACCTGAACCCACTCCGCATCACCATCGCAATGACTTCACGCGGCGGACCCGGCTTGGGGGGGGGGGCGCCTAGGGGAGGGGGGCGCCTAGGCGGGGGGAGCTCCCGTGGACGAGGGGAACCCGCGAGTCCTCACCTTCGTCTGGGTCGCTGGCGTTGAGGCTGACGACGGCGGCTCCCAGCGCCACGTCCTCGCACACTTCCACCTCCAGCCGCGAGCTCGCGAACGCCGGCGCGTTATCGTTGACGTCGAGCACGCTGACGTAGACCCGCGCGAGCGTCCCGCTGCCGTCGGAATTCCCAGCGTTGCCGACGACTCGGGGGGTGTCTCCGTCGCCGGCAGAAGCGTCGGGCGGATTCCCCAGCGGTGCCGAGCTCCCGGAAGCGACCCCCGATTCGCCGCCATCGCCGCCGCCGCTCGGGGGGTTCCGCGAGTCCCCGGCGGGAACGGCGGTGACGCTGAGCGTGAGCGCGTAAAAGGGGCGAGCCTCGCGGTCGAGCGAGCGGAGCAGGCGGATGGCGCCGCTGCGCCGGTCCACGAGGAACGTGTCCCCCCCCGCGTCGTCGTCATCCGCGAGCGAGAAATCCGCGAGAAGCCCCGGCTCTGGCGACGCGGCTGACACAGTGCCCACAGTGCTGCCTGGTCAAACAGATAACGACACAAACAATACGCAGAATTAACTCAATTATACTCGGCAGGTCGTATTTAAATCTTTATTCAGAGCCAGGCATTGGGACTGCCGAGACTGAAAGTTTTGTTTTCCAATTGCAATGATCCGCAGATGACACATATTCAACCCTTCCACATAAAGCACTGAACAGCGATTAACAACAACTCAGGGTAATGTTTGACACACGAATGCAATTTTCCAGTAGTACGCAGCTAAGGTACGTTGAACTTATACTGGTAGGAACGAAGTGAACCAGCCTACAATAGATTATATCGTCCGTCCGTCCGTCCGATGTCCGATTAGGTGTAGCAACATCGCCCCCTACTGCAAACACTTGGCAGGACCCTACTCCTCAAACTCTCCCTTCGTATCGTACCCCCGCGTGTGTGAAAGGGAGTTAATGTTTAACAATGTTACATTCCCTAATGTTTTTAAATAGAAACATTTACATTTAAAGCGTTTACATAAATAATTAAAACATTTAAATTACAAATTAACTCACAACGGCCTAAAGCCTACAGCTAGGCCTAAAGCCTAGAACTAGGCCTCAAACTCTCCGTTCGTATCGTCCGATTAGGTGTAGCAACATCGCCCCCTACTGCAAGGACCCTACAAAAACCTTTAGACTCAGTGAGGCTTTCCTGGCTAAACAAGTGTAATAATACATTATGTTTATATTCTTTAGTTATTCGTTCCTACCAGCCCACCCCGCAGGGACCTGTTTTTGCACCGTACGTAGCCATCCGTGCTAATCGGAGGTGGGGTTTCGGGAGGGTGTGATGCAGAGGTGGAGCAGTGGCTCGGAGTGCACGGAACTTGGCGACCTGAGTTCAATTCATGGCCACGGGTCACATCAGCAGCGAGTGATATCTGAACCTGTCCTGTGCCTGCCGTTCACCAACCTGCACTGACCAGCGTGGTGAAGTATGGTCAAACAACCCCCATGCATTCATTCAACTGCCGTGCCAGAGATGAAATCGAACTGGCGAACAGCTGGATTGGAGGTCCGGTGGTGTGCTGCTGATTGTGACAGCATTGTGTGTGGCAGCTGTCTTTGTTTTTCAGTAAAAAAGCCAAACACATAGTGTTTATTTTGACTCTGGACATTTATTGTTTTCAGAATCAGAGTATGTATTTATACTGGAGAAACCCGATGTGCCATGCAGCAATTTTTTCACAGATTTTTGTTCCAATTGTTTTTTCACAGATATTCATGTGGTTACCGGTATTTTTTGTTTGTTACTTGGGTGCAATTGTGAATAAGAGCCATATCAGACATGAGTACATCGAATCTGCATCATCATTGGGTTCACTGCAACTCAAAAACTCAGCCACCTACAAGGCACGTGGTGAAGTTAGGAGACATCTCGTGTGTGAGCTCGGGGCATTTGAAGGCCTGAAGACCAGAATCGGTGATCTCGACGACATCAGGGAGGCATTTCCTTATCCTGCTGCCGCCGCTGCTGCTGCTGCTGGTACCTGGGGCCGAGTCCTCGGGCACCGTGAAGACGAACGCCCGCCGCTCGAACCGCGCCAGGGACACGGCCGCCCGCCCATCGCCTCCGCCCGTCTGGCACGCGCAGCGGCACTGCCACGGAGAGCAAAACGGAAACACGGCGGTGACGCCAAAGGCGGGGCGACAGCGCCGGGGTGATGCGCCGCCGGGCCACTACAGAGGTTTCATGGGTTCGGATTATCCGGCGGCTGCCCCTGATGAAGAATACGGTCAAACACTTACGCGTCCGTCTCTTTCGGAGAAAATGCGTCGTGACGGATTAGTGCAGGCCGGTAAAAAAAAACACGTGAGTTTCAAAGCGGTCCACATTCTCTTCAAATTCAAGTTCAAGTTCATTTATTAGGTAGAGCCCTGTGAGCCATTCGGCTCTTGAATCGGGTGCAACCACAACAAACAAAAACATGATAAAGAAAACATCTTAAAGTGACTATGTGACTAAGTGCAAACAGAAAATCCAAGAAAAGACAGCAAAATATTGCAGAAAAAACACCGTACACCAACGCTGTGTGCAAAAATCCCAGTGGGATGCAAGTCAAACAACAACAACAACCACAAGACAACTTAGATTTTGATGGCATGGCTGACACAGTGCCCAAGGCGCTGCCTGGTCCAACAAACAAGCAGTGCCGGATTATTATCCTCGTAGCAAAAGTAGCTGCATATGCTACGGGCCCCGCGCTAAATGCTTTCAAGCTATTCTGCACTTACTCTATTACTACAGTACTATACCGCATTAAACTTTTACGAACGACTGGGCGTTTAATGTTAGCGATTTGTTGTATTATCTGGCTGTATAGCAAGTAAAAAAGAATACAATTTCTTTACTATGAAAGTAAAAAAAATGTGTGTTTTTATATTTTTGCATTTTTGTTTTAATTTAAGGGTTTATTTATAACATATTCTCCAGGCCCCGCACTACCTTAATCCGGCACTGCAAATAAGCAAACAACAAATACAAGCATAAACAAGTGAATATTCAGGAAATCGTCATCAAAATATTCATTTAAAAACCTTTCTTTAAAACCGCGATGCAGTTCTTCAAGAACGATTGATTGTTTTTTTTTGCATAATTCGCAGTGAATTTTTAAAGTTCCCGTGACATAATTCGCAAGGGGCGCCAGCGTCATGGCCCCCGAATTTTTCAAAATTACACCGTCAACTTACTCAGTTGGGACGTACGTAGTAGGGATTATTGCCCTCTGTTGCGAAAACAGACTTGGCAAGGAGACTCAGCGGGTGGTATGCACTTTACGTTGAACTTCTTTCGCATCGTACGTAGCCTACCGTGCTCATTGGAGGTGCAGTGTTGAGTCTATGGGCAGTGTTGAGTCTATGGGCAGTGTTGAGTCTATGGGCAGTGTTGAGTCTATGGGCAGTGTTGAGTCTATGGGCAGTGTTGAGTCTATGGGCAGTGTTGAGTCTATGGGCAGTGTTGAGTCTATGGGCAGTGTTGAGTCTATGGGCAGTGTTGAGTCTATGGGCAGTGTTGAGTCTATGGGCAGTGTTGAGTCTATGGGTAGTGTTGAGTCTATGGGTAGTGTTGAGTCTATGGGCAGTGTTGAGTCTATGGGCAGTGTTGAGTCTATGGGCAGTGTTGAGTCTATGGGCAGTGTTGAGTCTATGGGTAGTGTTGAGTCTATGGGCAGTGTTGAGTCTATGGGCAGTGTTGAGTCTATGGGCAGTGTTGAGTCTATGGGCAGTGTTGAGTCTATGGGCAGTGTTGAGTCTATGGGCAGTGTTGAGTCTATGGGCAGTGTTGAGTCTATGGGTAGTGTTGAGTCTATGGGTAGTGTTGAGTCTATGGGCAGTGTTGAGTCTATGGGTAGTGTTGAGTCTATGGGCAGTGTTGAGTCTATGGGTAGTGTTGAGTCTATGGGTAGTGTTGAGTCTATGGGTAGTGTTGAGTCTATGGGCAGTGTTGAGTCTATGGGCAGTGTTGAGTCTATGGGCAGTGTTGAGTCTATGGGCAGTGTTGAGTCTATGGGCAGTGTTGAGTCTATGGGCAGTGTTGAGTCTATGGGTAGTGTTGAGTCTATGGTGCAGTGTTGAGTCTATGGGCAGTGTTGAGTCTATGGGCAGTGTTGAGTCTATGGGTAGTGTTGAGTCTATGGGTAGTGTTGAGTCTATGGGCAGTGTTAAGTCTATGGGCAGTGTTGAGTCTATGGGCAGTTTTGAGTCTATGGGCAGTGTGAGTCTATGGGTAGTGTTGAGTCTATGGGCAGTGTTACGTCTATGGGCAGTGTTGAGTCTATGGGCAGTTTTTAGTCTATGGGCAGTGTGAGTCTATGGGTAGTGTTGAGTCTACGGGCAGTGTTGAGTCTATGGGTAATGTTGAGTCTATGGGTAGTGTTGAGTCTATGGGCAGTGTTGAGTCTATGGGTAGTGTTGAGTCTATGGGCAGTGTTAGTCAATGGGCAATATGTACGTTTAACTTCTTTCGCACCGTACATAGGCAACCGTGCAAATCGGAGGTGCAGGGGAAGGACAACAAATCAAGCGTCACAATGACAACGACGCACACACACGCACGCACGCACACACACACGGACGCACACACACACATGCACGCACACTTGCACACACTTGCACACACGCACACTTGCACAAACGCACGCACACACGCACGCACACAAGCACACACGCACGCACGCGCACGCACACGCATGCACGCACATCACGAACGCACGCACACACGCGCTCACACAGGCACGCACACACGCACACACGCACACACACGCACACACACGCACGCACGCGCTCGCACACGCACGCACACACGAACGCAAGCACACACGCGCTCACACACGCACGCACACACGCACACACACGCACACACGGACGCACACACGGCCACGCACACACACACACGCACACATGCGCGCTGAGCACACTTCGACACGCATTGCGATACGCAGGTCACAGATTTAAATGCAAAAGTCGTTCCTCGCATTAACTAAAACTAAACTAAATTTTAAACGAATCAGCCATGTTCTATCCACTGCTGGAAGAAGCCCTTCCCAAGCTGTCCCCATCTATCACAGTTCCGTGATGTTAGAAAATAAACTAAAACTTATTTTTAAAATCTTGATTTGAGGCTTTCGTGACTGCAGGAATCCATACTCTTTGGTTCTTTCGGTAAAGTCACGTAGGTAGAAAAATAAACATTTATATTATTTTTATTACATTTTTTCATTTTATTTTACCAGGTAAGGCCCAGTGAGCTGCTACGTAGCTCTTGTTCAGAAGCGACCTGGCCACAAATGATCGCCCAACGAAGTGGCTTCACGTCATCGTCGTCGCGTGGAAATGTACCGCAGCCAAAGACTCTAAGCGCGTGATGTTGATTCTGAATGTGGGGAGGAAAACCGGAGGACCCGGAGAAAAACCCACACGACCACAGGGAGAGAGAGAGACACGCAAACTACAAATATACAGCAGGCGTCAGGGTCATGATTGAACCCCACAACCTCCTGCATACCAGGCGAGAGAGTTAACATCTCCTAGCCACCGTGGCGCCTCAAGATAATCAATAGATGGTGGTGGTGGCATCTACATCTGCAGAACGCGATGAACCAGTGGCATCTACATCTACAGGAGATTATACAACCTTTAAATCCATCCCCCGTGCTTAGTGTGCATGCATTACAACATGTTTGGAATCGAAGGGAGTAAAGTTGGATTTACGAATAGATCGACTTATGAACAGACCTCTGGAACCGAACTCGTTCATAAGTAGAGGCACAGCACAGCACAGCACGGGAGACCTCCATGATCTCTTGTTGCTACTGCTGTGATCGCGCGTTCTACGTTATGCCCCTTGGGTAGAGGCGCGCATTGTGGATTTAAAGATCCGCACTCGAATCGGGAGATGCCGCTTGGCCACCGCTGCTCTGGGGCAGTGATTCTTCACCTGGGTGCACACTGAGCCCCCTGGGGAAGCGAGATGCCCTTTCTGGGGCGTAGCGAGACATGGACAGATTTCTTTTCGAAGGTAAATCGTCGAAAACACAAATTAAGCATGCGCATCTTCTTGGTTCTTTCGGTAAAGTCACGTGGAAGGGAAATAATAAAATAATAAAAATTAAACATAACAAAATACAATTCTCACGACGTTTCGGCCACAACGCAAGCAGCCGTCTTCAGGTGAAGAACAGGTCTGTCGGAAAGACAGCGTCTGACGAAGAAGCGTCTGACGCTGTCTTTCCGACAGAAGAAGCAGCAGACGCTGTCTTTCCGACAGACCTGTTCTTCACCTGAAGACGGCTGCTTGCGTTGAGGCCGAAACGTCGTGAGAATTGTATTTTATTATATATTTTTTATTATTTCCCTTCTACCTGACTTTGCCGAAAGAACCAAGAAGATGAATCCCTGCAGTCACGAAAGCTTTAAATCGAAATTTAAGCATGGGCACTTAAGTTGAACTTACTTTGTTTCATCAAACCCTATGTATTTATTAGCAGCAAAATTGAAGAACCGCTGCTCTCGAAAGGAGCGTTTGGCCGATTCCTTCCACGCCGGACAGACTTCTTGGAAGACGTGGGGGGTTACCCGCACTTTGCCCCAAGCACACGTGGCGCTGCCAGTCGACTCACTCCGTGGTCTACTCACTCACGATGCCGCTGAGTGGTGAGCGGTTGGGGAAGAGTATTGCAGAAACTTGCCCTATCGTTTCAGCAGTCATGCAATTTGCGTTTAGCGCTCCTATCGTGTCTGTGGGGGAAAAAAAAACTTCGTATCTCATCGGATTCTTGTCGTCCTTCCCCCGCGCCTCCAATGAGCACGTTTGGCTACGTGGGGTGCGAAAGAAGTTCAACATACATACTGCTCATAGACTAACACTGCTCATAGACTCATCACCGCACCTCTGATTAGCACGGTTTGCTACGTACGGTGCGAAAAAAGTTGAGCATACAGCATGTCCCCGGGTTGCGGAAGACCTGGCTTACGGAAGTAGGACCTCACGGAAAACGTACGGAAATGTACGCGCGAGTTACGTAAGCGCGAGGTGAGTGTGGCGCGGCGATGTTGCGCACGAACACCGCCAGAACGCCGCCTTGACCAAGCCTGAGCTT